GTTTCCCAGTTAAAACTATGGTTGAGTCTGTCCATGTGTTGTGAGATTAAGGAATTGTCATCATGTCTTCTGACTGCTAGTTGGTGCTTGTGGATGCGCTCTGCTTTTGATGCCATCAACCGTGGTATCCTTCTGAACTAACTTCAGGGGTTGGAAGTGGGAGCCACTGTCTTGCAGTGGTTCTCCTTTCCCTGTGGCTGGTTCCAGTCAGTGCTGGGGGAGAAGAGGTCAAGCCCTAGGCCTCTGCAGTACATGGTGTCTCAGGGCTTGGGCCCTTCACCTCTCCTCTTTAACATCTACATGAAAATGTCGGGCAAGATCATTTGATGGCAGGGGTGCAGTATCATCAGTATGCTCATGATACCCAGCTATCCATCTCCACCCCAGACCAGGCAGGTGATGCTGTGTGGAGCTGACTGAGCGCTGGAGGCTGTGAGGGTCTGAATGGGGAGGAACCAACTTCAACTCATCCCTGACAAGATGAGGGAGGTTTGGCTTCCCAGGGTCTGGTGATATGTCATCTTTGACTCTGGATGGGGTTGCATTTCCCTGGACTGAGCTGGTGTGCAATTTAGGGGTCCTGTTGGACTCATGGCTCCTGCTGAAGGAGCAGGTGGCTGTTGTGGTTGGGGGGGGCCTTCGCACACATTCATCTTGTACGCCAATTGTGCCCTTTCCTGGACTGAGAGGCCCTGCTCATGGTCACTCATGCCTTGATCACTTCCCGTGTAGACTACTGCAATGTGATCTACATGGGGCCACCCTTGAAAACCACCCAGAAGATACAACTGGTCTAGAATACAGTGGTGCACATGGTGCTGGGTGCTTCCAGGTTCCCCCATGTTACACCTCTGTTGCACAAGCTGCACTGGCTCCCAGTTTCCTTTTGGGTGCATTCAAGGTGCTGGTTATCACCTTTAAAGCCCTACATGGCATAGGGCCAGGTTATTTGTGGGGCCGCCTCTCCCTGAGAGTATCTGCCCATCCTACCAGATTGGATAAGGTAGGCATGCTCCAGGTCCCTTCTCTGAAATGTTACCATCTAGCAGGACCTGCTCCTACCTTGTGGAACAACCCCCCCCCAATTATCCAGCAGGCCCCCACCCTTTTAGCCTCCCAGAAGGCCATCAAGACTTGGCTCTTTACCCAGGTGCTGGGGTAGAATGATGGTGTCTGTGGCTGGTTCTTGGAGCATCCCAGGAGGATGACTGAGGTGCCAGGTTTTTAGTTTTCGTTTTATGGTTTTTAAAAATGGTTTTGTGGTTTTATTGTTGTTGTGAACCACCCAGAGTTGTGCTTTAAGATGGACAGCCAGACATATCTTTTAAATAAATAAATAAAAGAGTGAGTGACCAGCACAAAAGAAGTACATTGAGGTGATTTGGCCAGAGAATGACTTACAAAACAAATATACGAAGGAAGGGTAAATGGTTCAGGAAGAAGACTGAAAAAATCATGGCTGGATGAATCTGATGAGATCCCTCAAGAGAGAATAGTAAGAAATTTGAACAATAAAAAGCAATGTACGTTTTTTAAACTTCTTACCACTCTCTCTTACAGAACAGTATGAAGTTTACCATGGTTCCTTTTCTTGTTGTTATAGCACGCTTTTCATTTCTTTGGCTTCTGTGCTCTACATAACATTGCTTATCCTGAAAGGGATAATGAAGAGTGATGATGGGTATGCATCCCATACAGAAAAGCAATGCAGTAATAGATTTTATGCCCAACATTCATAGCTGATGACATGAAGAGAGTTCCAGGATGTTTCAACAGGATTTAAAAAAAAAATTCATAAACTCTTTGCTTTGCTTTGCCTTTCATTAGGCAAACTGCTTTGTTTCTTGAAACTCAGGGGTTCTTTCCTCCCCCCTCCCACAGATGCTTCCAGTTGAATGCAGGGATGGGTTCAAGAATAAAAGGAGAAATGAAGTTAGCTCTACACTGCAATATTCAGAAGAACAAAGAAAAACGTGAGGGCAGACAGCAGGAAGAAAGAATGAACGTTAAAAGTGATACTTACCGCATAATGCAACTGACTTACTGGGAAGGGTGACAGGCAACTCCCACCCCAGGACCATCCCCTTCCTTAATAAGAAGCCTCTCCTGGCCCAAGGATTTTGCATTTGCTATTTAAGATAAGGGTGTCATTTCTGAATAATAGGATGCCTAGGCTTCCTCTGCTGTGTGCAGATAGTTTGGTTTAGAAGTGATTTATGTCAGTACTGGTGTAGCCCAAAGATATTACTTTGGATGAGGCCAAAGGACTTCAGCAATGAGAACAGCATGGTACCTTAAGAGCTCTAACAGTTGCTTGATCAGTGGCTGCCATTCGATCTAAGCCCCCTTCTTCCAGCTCATGCAAGTAAGCCTGATACAGTTCCTCCAGATGGGATGGCACCAATAGGTGAGATTCTGGCAATGAGAAGGGAAACCAGAAAAGAAGTCACACAGGAGCAGCAAACGCACCAGAAGCTTCAACACTGGCCTACCACTGAAATGATAGTTCCCTTATGACATGAAGGGAATAGGGCAGAGACTATGATTAGGAATGTATCAGAAGGACACTGAATACTTTTGATGGGAAAAGCGTCAATGCCATGACTGCTTTAGGCTAAGTCAGGGCAACAGGCTGCAACATAATCACAGGTCTCAAACTCGTGGCCTGCGTATGGCCCTCCAAGGTCACTTTATAGATCCAGCATCAATAAAGATAAGCCAGAACAACAGAAAGCTCCTCATTTACATATAGAGTAGTAGAGCAACTGGCAGAAGGAAGGCAGCAGCAATACAGTTCTTTCTTTGGGATAAGAAGAAAACCTGGCTCCATGTTGAGGTGGGGCAAGCTGAGGAGCAGCTGCAGGGTTAGCCCTTCACTGAGGTGTCATCACAGCTAAGCAAATTGCACTGATGGCTGAGGATTTCTGCTAGAATTGGGCATGTGGTGAATGGCTCTTGTGTGGGAGCTGCTAGGGGCAGCAAAAGTGCCTCTCCACTTCATTCCTACCAGAGCTAGTCCTGGGCCATCACTTGCCTTCGGCTTATAGATCCTGTCACTTCTCTTCTGTGCTGGGCCTCCCTTCCACCTGAGATGTCCTAGGATAAAGCTGTTGCAACCAGAGTCTGGGCTGGGGCCTGCTCCCCTCCCCCAGTGCTTCTGCTGTAGCTCCTCCTAGCTGTGGGTTTAGAAGCATGACTCTGCATTTGGATGGAGCAGGCTAAGATGCCTGCATGCCTAGCTCCACACTGAACCACCAACGTAGTTGGGAATGAATTCTGTCAGCTTGTTGCTGATAGTGAGGATCTGTGGCAGTGGAGGGGGAGCAGACAAGCCTTAGTTATCAAAATTGAATACTTTTAACAAATCAAGCTTTGTTATGAATGCAAAACCACTAAGGAGATTACATCACCTGTGGACTTCCTGCTTTCTATATAATTACAAAAACTATGACAACCCAGGAACATTTATCTAAAAACCCATGAGGCCTGTTTCCAGTTCAAAAGTCCTGTTCTATGAATGCTGGAACTTGCAAAGCAAGCAACACCCTCCCAAGTATGGTGGGAGTTGCAATTCCTGGACTTTTGGAAATGGAAGGTTTCCTAACTGTTCTTAATCAGAGCTAAGCATTTGAGAAAAACTAAATAAATAGATTCTTGCCCCCAGAGACTCTTAAATTGCATTTCTGGAGTAAATCATTCCTGGGGGGCGGGATTTTTCATCAGTGTGTTTGGGCATAGCAATATGAGTATGCAAGGACACAATGCACTTAAAATCACATTTAAGAGGAAGAGCTGAATTAGTTATGTAGGATATGCTGGTCTATGACCGTAATAAAGTTTTGATTTGATTTATGTAGGAAGGGATTAAAGCTCTTTCCCAAATGTGGCTCAGTTTCCTACTCTGTAGTGCTGGTGATTACGGGAACTGTTGTCCAATCTAGAGAAAACTGGAGATTAGCTCTCCCATGTGCCTAAGAGCAGTGGTCGTAAATGGGTGCTCTTCAGCTAATTTTGATTTGAATTCCTGGACTTCCCAACCATCATAATCTTTGGGGTTGATGATTCCGGGATTCCAAGTTCAATACACTTGAATGACAGCAAATTGAGAATGGCTGCTTAAGAGAAAATGGAGGGGTTACAGTTCATTTTAAGGATGGGCTGGAACAGAACAGAACCCAGTACAACAGACTCAGGTCACAACTGTATTATCTTATGAATGTCCACTAAAATGAAGTTCCATTAAGTTCTGTACTGTTTGTTCCTAGGGATACTTACCCACTAGAGATTTTTTTATACTACAGAGCCCCCTTCTACCATATTGGATCAAGAGTGAATGCATATGGGGCAATAAATCCAGTAAGTCTACATTAGTCTTCCCCAACCTGGTGCCTCCTACTTGTAATGGACTTCAAATCCAGAAGTCCCAGGTAGCTTTGGCTATACTGCTTTGGAATTCTGGGAATTAAAACCCAACACCACTGGAGGGCACCAGGCTGGGAAAAATTGGTCTGCACTGGGCAACATAGGTGGCTATACCATGAATGATCTGTCGTTGTTCTTGGATGATGCGGTGGCAGAGGCTGCGATAACGCTCAAAGCGACGCACAGCTCGCTCCTGATGACGGATGAAGTTGTCCTTGAGAAGCGTACTTGACTGTATGGCTGTATCCTCCACTTCCAGTTCGTGTACCTTACACAGCAAACTCAGAACTTCTCTCTGCTCTTCTGAGCTGATGCACCATGGCAAGGCCTCCTCTAACCGGTGCCCACGCTGCCATACTTCCCAGAAGCGCTTTTCCAGCTCTGCCTGGCACAGAGAAGAGGCACAGAGTCACAGAGCCAGTGAAAGCCATAGATGCTGGAGGAGAGGAGTATTGCTGACTGCAGTCTGCTCCACTCTATAAAGACTGCAACCTCCCTGCTCCCTTCCCTCCCTTCCTTTAGCTAACATCCTTTTCACCCCACCGGCTTTTGACACCTTCTGCTTATGAAGTTTATCCTGCTCCCCCAGGAGAGTAGTGATGTGTTCCCGAGCTGCTACCACTTCTTGTGGCTCTGGCACATCTGAGAGATCATCCCCAGTGTCAGAGTCCTTCTCATTTTCATCTTTGTTGTAACTCTCTTTTCTTTGTTCCTCTCTCCACTTTTGGGCTCGATGGGTCTTCTCCTGTTCCCAGCTGAAAAGTGGGGGAAGAGGGGAAGGAAGAAAGGTTGAAGGAATGCATCACAGTCAAGAGCCAGCAAATGACAGGCACCTGGCACATCTAGCCTAAGCTCTCAAAGTAAGCTGATGGAAAACAGTGAACTGCACAATGAAGATCCTAGGAATGTGTCCTGCTTGCTCTTGACTCTCTGCTTACTCAGCAATGGTGAGGAGATGGCGAGAGCTCTCAATCTGTATCTCCATGTAATTGTTCTCCAACTCCATGAGGTGGCGCCGCACATCCATCTGCTCCCGAAAAGTGCTAATCAGCTGCTCCCTGAGCTGATCTATCTCCTGTCTCTCAAAGGGATTCCCACGGAGCTGTACTTCAGCTGTACAACAGGTGGAGAAAAGAAGTGCAACTGATATATATGGGAAATCCAGTCCAAGTGCTGAGAGAGAGAAGCTAAAGAATAGCCAAGTTTTGCTCCCCTTGCTCCATGACCCTTGTATTTCAGCCATGCTTGCTACCTTATTACCTACATCCTGCCTCTACAAAACTTTCAGCACGTCATCAAATCTATCAATCAGTGAGATCCTTTTTAATCTGTAAGGCAGGGATATCAAGTCTACCCAATCCATAACACATGTATGCAAGCACACACATATACACATTCCCTTTCTTCCTTTTCTACAGGTGTCAAGACACTATGGCAGGCAGATTTCTGGAATGTTTGAAGGACATGTAATCTAAGAATTTAAACTAAACTGTGCTGGATCAGGCCAGAGCCCTGCATCTTTTAGCATCCTGTTTCTCATGGTGGCCAAGTAAGTATTAATAAGGAAAATTACAAGCAGGATGTGAGCAATGACACCCCTTGCTAATGTTCCTTAGCAATTAGATATTATACAGAGGCATATCACTCCTAATACTAAAGGTAATGCATAACCATGGTGTGGAGTACCTTATCTTCCAGGAATCCCCTACACAGCCATCTTCATGCTACAGCAGCAACTCAGCCTACCTTGAATACTCCGGATGTCTGGCCGCATTGGACGGGGCTCCTGTTGTTCAATCTTGCATTGTAGCCGGTGAATTTCACGATGGAGGTCAGCAATGATACTTGTGTACTGAGCAATGTGGTAGGAGACGTTAAAATGGTTGCGCTTCACCTGTCAGGCACGAGAGAGAGAGAGAGAGGGAGGGAGGGAGGGAGGGGGAGAGAGAGAGGGATACAGAATGGATGTTGGGAGCGCAAGGAGACTGCAACATCCAAGACTAGTTAATTATATAAGGATCAATAATCCAGAGTCTTACAACAATTAAATATCTTTTTGTAGTGAGTAAAGAGGATGACCTTGAAGGATAGAGAGAAGTTCCATTACCAAGGCAACAATCAGATAAACGAGACTTAAGCCCAGGCTAAGAAAGTGAGTTATGAAAGCATCTCAGACAGCCATCCCCCTCCCCGCCAACTTCTTAATTCTCATGAAGATACACACAAGGAAGCACATTCAGACTCACAAGATTCTGTTGCTATAGTTGTTTTAATAAAAGTAATTTTAGGTCTGCACGCTGTTTCTTAGTGTGGTCTACTTTATAGGACTGATGCTTTTCAAATACTAATGTACCATAAAATAGTAATGGTGCAAGTGTCAGGATCAGTGTATAACATAAAAACATTGGTTAGAAAATCAATTGTTTGATTAAGTAAACCCAGGCAGAATCAAGACTTTCTACCATCTGGTGAAAAGGCAAGAAGGGGCCAACCGAGCCTCATGGGGCAAATAATTCTGTAATCTGGTTCTAATAATGAGCAGGCCCTTTTTCTCTCATTGCACCTGAATCTGAGCATAGAGAAGAGCTTCTCCACCAGATTTTTGTTGACATCCTCCTCAATCAGCTCCATGGACAGGGCACTGTCACAAAGAGTTTCTGCTCAGGTCACGGGGAGGATTCCAAAGAAAGCCATTGAAAGACTGCAGGTTGACCCCTAAAAGTCTTGCTGCAGAATGCCTCAAGGTACTGCCATGTATTCAAAGCTATTTCATGTTTATTTGTTGGTTGTTAGGAGATTAGGAAAGAGGTGTCACTAATATACAGATAAAACTCAGCTCTATTTCTTTTTTATATTTCAGTCAGGAGAGGCCATGTATAATATAAACTGGTGCTTAAGCACTATGATAGTAGCCTGTTATCAGCTTTGGCTGGTGCATCCATTCTTGGACAGGGCTAGTGCTGCTACAGTGAGTCACGTATTAGCAGCCTCAAAACTGGATTATTGCAATATAATTTTATGTGAGGTTCAGCAATGTCTATAGGTGGGTCAAGATCTACAAGATGGTGGTTGCAGAGTCATGATCCAAGCCCTATCCCTTTTGTACAATGCTGATGTTGCAGACATAGAGAAACAGAGCAAGGTTTGGATCACAACAAAATCTTGTAGATTTTGACACCTTTCCTCTCCATGGATGACGTAGATGGGGTTGCTCTTGAAACTGGAACAGAAGCTATAAGTAGTAAGTAAGCTAGATCACTGACTGGGATGCTTCACGGCACACATAATACCTTTGCATTAAAAGACCTGAACTGGATACAGACTCAAAATGTTGATACAAGTCTATAATACCGTAAACAGCTAAGGACTAGGTTACTATGAACATCTCCAGTCATCTCAGTTTCTCAGGGACCTAGGTTTATTGGGAGAAGGAGCATTCTCTGCCTGCAATTTACAGTTTGTGAAAAAAATATTTGCCCCTTTTCATTTTTTTCTGAATTTTGGATATCTTTGCCACTAAATGCTATCAGAGCTTTGTGTGGGTCCTACCAACAACTAAAGGAAATCTGAATAAATAAGTAATACTAAGGTTTGGTGCTTGTTTCATTGATTTCATAAAGTAATCCAACAATGTGTCAGTGTAAAAAAAATCATCTTGTTACTTTCAGTAATGCTGTATCACTTTTAGCTGCACATAACTTCAATGAAATGCTTCCTATAACTGGTGATCAGTCTCTCACATCACTGTGTAAAATTTTGGCCCATTCCCACAGGATGAACTGCTTCAACTCTATAATAATTGAGGATTTTCTAAAATGAACTTCTAAGTTCTGTCACAACGCTTCCATAAGATTAGGCATGGACTTTGACTTGGCCACTCCAGAATACTGAATTTATTCTTAATTTTTTTTCTCATTAATTTTCTTGTATGTTTGAATTGTGTTTTTGCCTCATGAGCCATCTGAGCTCCAATGTCAGTTGATATGCATATGGTCTGATTTTCTCCTATAGAATTATCTGATACAAAGCAGAATTCGTTTTCTTTAATGATGGCAAATTGTCCAGGTCCTGAGGCAGCAAAAAACCCCGCCAAAACGTGACACTACCACTTCTGTGATTGAGAGGTGGTATGGGGATCTTATTGTGGAATGCAGCATTTGGATTCTATCAGGCAGGACAATACCTCTGTAATCTGAAAAATTCCTCTTTTGACTCAATCTATCCATACAACATTCCTGCAGAACTATGGAGTTCACCCAGGTGCTTTTGGCAAATCTGAGATGAGCATCAGGATTGTTCTTAGTGAACAACGGCTTCAGCCTTCCTACTCTTCTTCGAGCCCCATTTTTACTCAGTGCTTTTTTGATGGTAGAATCATTACTCTTATTTTAACCAAGGTGAGAGAGGCCTACAGATCCCTAGATGTTGTTTGTCTTTTTGACTTCCTGAACAATTTTATGCTGCACTCTTTGAGCAATTTTAATATGATGGCCACTCTTGGGAAGAGTCACTATTGTTCCAAATCTCCATTTCAAGACCTTGTCTCTGTTCATTGGTGGAACCCCAGTCCATTAGAAATTGCTTATTTGTAATATTTTCCAGAGGTAATAGGTCTCAATTAAATTTTTTTTTAACAAAAATCTTTAGAAATACTTTTGTCTGTAATTAAATCTTTAGAAATACATATGTCTGGAATCTGTATATCGAGAAATTCACTGTAATGGGAAAAGCCAAAGCTTGTGAGATTTATATAAGTCAGGGCTCACCTAAATCTTCCCTGATTATTAATGAAGTTATCACATAGTTCTTTAACTGACTGAATTAGCAATTACTTTTCCACATTGTGGATATCATTTATGTATCAGATATCACCTATCTAGTTGACAGACTGAAATACATGGTGGTATCCTAAACTCATAAAAAGTGACCACCAAAACCAACTTGAAATGAGCCCAGAAACAAACTGGTATCCAGTGCAGCTTTTGTAGGGCAACTGAGATAGGATTCCATAACTGAAAACCCACCAACATCATTGGTACTGCGTTCAGGAGCAAATAAAGACAGATTGACTTCTGTCAAGCGGATTAATGGGAAGGGAAAAAAGCTGCGAGATTGGCTTCCCTTTCATTGTGGCCACTCTACAGGAATCTATACGAAACACCTAGTTTCTGTGGCTACTTTCTGACTTCATATCATGGCAATAAATCTTGACTCCAAATTCTCAACCCCCATTCAGGAACTTGCTTACAGCAAAAGTTCACTGACCCAACACAGCTAGATGCTTTATCACAGATAAGATAGAAGCCACATATATAAGATCTGCCAATTGCAGAACACAGGAATCAAGTTCAACGTATATATCTGTTCCAGGATTTCAATTGTAGGCCTTTTCCTTCTGCCTAAAATTGAATCTGTTCAAATCTGCCCATTAATTTCCTACCTTTGTGATTGGAAGGCATCTGTTCAATGTTTACATACTGGTGTGCCCAGCTCTGATTCCTGCCTTGCCAGATCCAGCCCTTGCACTTATCAGAAAATATGGTGATGGTAAGGTTAAACTAATTAATGTTTTGATCTGGAGGCCTGGAGAACTGGCTGGATTCAAATGGAACAACTTGTACTATCTGAATAACCTCCAAGAGTCAGAATTCTAGACAAGCAGGAGGAGGAATAAAATCCCAGGAATGCAGAATCCTACCGTGGTGCGGATATTCTTGGCACGCTCAGCATAGGTCAAAGTGCTGCGTGACTCCTCAAAGGCACTACTAGCAGGGCTGATGTGAGCAATCATCACTGTACGGCTGTTCCCACCTAGAGAGTCCTGGGAATAGAAAATGAAACCACAGGACTGAATACAGGTGTCAGGAAACCAAACCAGACTTCAGCAGCAGTCAGAACTCTGCAAAAAAGGAGGAACCAAATACATCAGGTAGGCCATGATGATTCTAAATCCAAGCTCTAATACCAAAACCAATCTGATCAGCCAGAAGCCTTCCTTCAAGCCCAATCCCATCAAAGCAGGATCCTCAGCACACATCTTTTAAGCCAAATTTGCTTAGGGAACCATTCTCTTCATACTAGGCATTTGAATATTCAGCTCTCACCTATGGACTCTTTGTGTGTCTGGATCAAGAAAGATAAAAGTTTTAATTTGAGCTCTCAAGTTGCAGACAGTTATCTGCTTGGAACTCTCCAAGGTCCTGAAACTGCAGCCTGACCCATCATGTCTATACTGTACAGTAGATAAGTACTTGCCTTGTGTTGCATAGGTCCACCATATCATCACCCCTCCCCACCTGCCTCAGGTACAGTTTAAATGATATTTCCTGCCAGCAGTAGATAATGATACATGTTTCCTTTTCTCTGCTCTACATCAGAAGAAAGCAGGCTGTACCAAAATTATGACAGAACAAAACAAACCGGATTGACATTTTGTTCATTGTAATATTTCATTCCACTTTTAGGAGTACTACATTTAAACACATATTGACACAAAATACATCTCCCACAAGCCTCTCTACTCTGTTTTGCCTACCTTTGGAAAATACATAGTTTCAATTAGACTATTCACACCCTCTGCTTCTTTGCCAACCCTGCCCAAAGGCACAGTCTACCTTTAGAAGGCGGGTAAGCTTGCTGTCCCGGTAATTAACGTATTTGACACCTGTCCTGTCACTGAGAGCATTGATGCAATTGCCAAGAGCCAGCAGAGACCGGTTGATGTGAGCTCCCTCCTTCATCCGCTGTCCACGATTCTGCGTCTATGGAGGAGGAAAAAGTAGAATGGACATGAGAATGAAATTGCTGTTCCAGCAAAGACCACTTGAGGCAAGTCCTATTTTTCTTTCTTAATTCTGAGGTCAGCTTGGAATATACTTTCCCTGTCATTCACCAAAGGAAAAATAGATGGAAAATAGACCTTATCTGGAACCAGATTAAGTTCCTGATTTAATATGAAATATGGTGAGCTAAAGGAGGAAGAGAATGACGCAAAGAAGGTCTTGATCCAAATACTGGTCAGAAACTATATTATTAATGATATTCCCATAAGGAGAAAAGCAAAGAGTATTTGGCTTTTCTTTAAAGACTAAAGAATGACACTTTTATATGATCCACACTTATTCCTGTATGCGCTTTAGCACAGGTAAGGCTGCATTCACTGAAGAGAGGTACAGATATTCTAGCAAGTTCTCAGTCCCAATACAGTTTCATTAGTAATTCCAATTTCAAACTGGTCATTTAGATGGAGTATCAGTGCTAGATAAATTGGACTGCATCCATAATGGCAATATTGTTAAGATCTGAATGTATGACTGTGACTCCAAGGTGTCCCCAGAGGACTGGACCATTAGAGGCTCTGTACTGATAGCAAATTTCATAATAAGCCTGGTTAATTCTCTGGATTTTTTTTTCTTCTTTCAAGGAAAGATTGTCTTTTTCTACATGACTGTAACCCAACCTTTTCTTTCCAATAAAAGAATACATGTAGCTCAGGGTTCAACTGTTGGATTCTAGGTGCTCTCTGACCTTGGTTGCTTTCTTACAGATGTTTCACCACCAGGCTAGGTAATATCATCAGTGTGAGGGACAATGGGGTTTGCTGACTGTTTACATATAACAGTTTGCCCCGGTCATCTTGATGGGGGTACGGCTTTGTCTTTGATGGTTCCTTGATTAGGATATTGTTTCCTCCCTGATAGTTTATCTGGTGTGGTTTCCTTTTTATTTGGGTATTGGTTGCTAGAGAGGATGTGTTCTAGGCTGTTTGTTTCCTTCCTTGTGCCTTTTAAATGGTACTAACAGCCGCTATGTAGGACAGATGGGTAGAAGACTGGCAGATTGCATCCATGAACACCAACTGGCAATCAGAAAATGTAACAAAAACTCCCTAATCTCGCAACACATGGACAGACTCAATCACAGTTTCAATTAGGAAACTTAACATGTTTGATCAAGCCAAATCCAAAAATCCTAGGGAATTCTTAGAAGCTTGGCATTCGGACAAATCAGCCATCAATAGACACATAGAGATAAATCCATTTACATATCATTTAAAAGACACAATCAAAAGCCTAGGAAGGAAGGAAACAGCCTAGAACACATCCAATCCAGCAGCCAATACCCAGGGAAGCAGGAAACAGCACCAGATAAACAATCAGGGAGAGAGAAAAAGAGAGAAACTTTATTTCAGTCAATGACCAATGAATAGCAAAGTAAAATATAGAAAGATTTAATAAGGAATCCATGCAACTATGAATGTAGTAATAAAAGAAAACAGAATTATGAACATTTAATCTATAAAATCAGTAAGATTAATCCAAATAATTAAACCTAAAAGGAATCTGTTATCCTAATATTTATGCCATGATGCAACAAAAATACTAACAATAAAATATGAATACTTTGTTACAGTTAGTGACCAACTAATAAACTAAAATACAGAATAATAAAAAAATGGTGGCTATAAAATATTAGGATACTATGTTCTTGCAAATAATCATGCAGGTATTCCCTTCTGATATCTGCAAGCAATATAACACTATTTAGCAACATTCAGAGAGAATGTATTAATTCTATCAGATGATAAATACCTGGGTGGCCTGGATAATTTTCTGTTAATGGTGTCAAATAGCATGCACAAATATCCTGATAAAAGGGACAGTATAAAAGAAAATGAGCAGTGTTTTCAACATGACCAGTTCTGCATGGGCAAAGCCATTACTTAAAAATAATTTTGTTATACCTCTTTACTAATCCAGCTGTAGGCAAAACATTAAATTATGCTAATATCATAGTCTATATTTGGTTATTTCAATCTGATTCAAGTATTTGGATGGACGAAGGTTAAAGGGTTGAACCCCAACAGACCTCTACTGGCACAAGGATTGAGCTTCCTGGCTTTCTATACAGCATCTATTATTCTTTACCTTATCTTTGACTACAATCAGGGAGGAAACAACATCCTAATCAGGGAACCAGCAAGGAAGAAGCCACACCCCCACCAAGACTGGCAGGGCAAGCTACTATATGTAAACAGCCATAAAACCCCACTCTCCCTTGCACTGATGATGTTACCTAGCCTGGCAATGGAATGTCTGCAAGAAAACAATCAAGCTTAGAAAGCACTGAGAACTCAATAATCTTATCTTTCATTCCTCTTTGTGGTTGCTGCCCTGGTTAGAGATGCTGATAGAAACTCAGTTCAGGAGATACTTTGTTTGGAGGGAGACTCATTTTAAGGACTGGATGTAGAATTGGCTGAAGCAGCACCAGTGGCAGGTGGGAAAAACAATTCCAAGGGATTTGGCTTGCTCTATGCCAAACTGATGAAAGGACATCTTCTGGGCAAGCTACTAACTCCCACAAAAGGTAGCTGACACAATCTAGACTGGAGATGGATTAGGTTTCTGGGGTTAAAAACATTAAATACTTACCTTAATATTATCTTACAGCTCTACTGCTCCCCTGTTTACTCCATAAGGACCCCAGTGGCCATAAGCTGGTAGTCATGTAAATTTAAAGGAACTGTCTGTATTAAAGGCTGAGTATTAGACACTAGGACACACAAGTAAGGACTACTACCTTTATAGTCTCCTTGTAATCTTTCTAGAATAACCAGGCTGGCCTCAGTGGGATGCTGGATTCTTATCTATGAGAATTCTTAAATCTCAACCAAGTGTCTTCTAACTGCATTATATGTAATATAACTAATATATTAT